GTCAAATTTCTACCATCCTTAGTGGCAGTATTACCATAAATCTGTATTATCTGTTGTTGTTTCTGTTGCTCTGTGTACATACCACTGTCTTCATGTTTGTTTTTCTATCTGTATTTCTCTCCATTATCTCTTACTCCCCCTCTTTCTTTGCCCATCATTTAACACCAGATGGCTGTTCACCTTAAGTTTGGTTCTGCTCAAGGTTTCTGCCTGTTAAAAGGAACTTTTGTCTTGCCACAGCTTATAAATTCTTGCTCATGATGGATTAATGTGGGGTCACTCCAAATAATGATAAAAAGAGTATGATTTCACACTGTATAGCTAAAGATGTATTTATTTATTTGCACTGTCGTTAAGCCTTCAATGCGCACTTTTATGTTCAGTGGATGAGGTCAAATAACATCCAGAGGGTAAATAATCCTCAGTATGCACCAAATGCTGTGGCAACGCTTTCAAGCCTTTTATAAACTGAGCCCTTTGACTCTTAATCTGGATCCTAAATAAGATCAGGATCATGCTGGGATCCCATTCAGCTCAATGCCAGTATTGGTAATCTGCACCAATCATTTGAAGAGAGTGGCTGATTTGTTGATACGAGTGTATTGTATTGTATTGTATTGGAGTGGTTATGTTAAAAAAAAAAAAATCTTAACAGGAAATTATATTATACACAAAAGTTTTTCACATAAATTGAATAATAGGTTCAGTGTGTGAATATATTTTCTGTTAAACTGTACTGGCAACATTTCCACCTTGTTAACAAATGGTATCACCATTCTTAACATCCCTGCAGGCCCTCCAAAAATACACCAATCCATTCAACATTATAATGCCTGGCTATATTTTAAAAATACTTTGGATTGTGCTGCTTTTAACAGAGTTAAAACTCTTTTGAAAGGTTTGAAATATTACGCTCAACAGCTGCCACAAGTGCAATTTAATCCACGGTCATTTCCGTGCAGTAATCTGAAGGCCATTTCCTCGACTGCATGGTTGCCATTACTTGATTCATGACATGAGAGTCTCTTTAATGTTAGAGATTTGATATTCGGTTCAGACCTTTTTCTTTAATCTGGAAGAAATATGCGCTCATAACGCAGAGCAACAGGCTGTGGGAAAAAATACTCCACCGTCAGAGAATTAGACATGAGCTTGAGCCCAGCTGTGTGCATGTTCATAATATAATTGGCCCGAGGATGTGAACTGACTTTAACAGGCAGGTCTGCTGTGAAATATATTGCTTCATTATAAAGAGCAGGGCATACTGGAAAAGGCTGTGGTGGGGATTCATGTACTGTTAGAAGAAACGTTTTGGTTCCTTATCAGCAGAGCGGGAATAAGTCTTATAGAGGAACAAATGTTGGCTATTACATTATAATGACCGGTTGTGTCAGCCCAGCTAAAAGCCAAATTATGATAATCTGTCAGACTGTACAAAAATGATGTCTTAATTGCATGTTTAAAATGTGGCATTACCTGAAAATCATACAGTTATGCATGACATACACTAATATAATGACTCTTTCTGTGCTATGTTACTGTCCTCCACAAGTTATGAAGATTTGAAGCAAGAACATTTTGAATTACCAACTTTGTTTTTTTCTCTCGGGATGATTACTAAAAAGAAAACATCTATTTCAAAAAGGGTTTTTCTATTACCTAGTACAACAATGGGTAACCCTGAACTTTATGCTACAACAACAACATTGTCAAGATAAAATCCGGTGTTTTAAAGTGTTTTGATTTTATTCTCTTGCTGAAATTCAGGAAGTCAAATTACTCCAAGAAGGATTAAATGCTCAATATGTCATTCTGAAGCACTCACACTTATCTAAGTCTGCTGCTGCTAGAACTAGACCTTGCATAGTAATGTTCAACCCCATGTGAGAATTACACAGCTTTGCCTGTGAAATGACAGCAGGGACTCTAAATGAATCTAAATTCATTGGCAACCAGTGTTCAAAAACTACACAGTAACACATGGTATCATAATTCTTGTTGATTGCTGACTTGCGCAGTTAAAATAAAACATATTATGCATGGCCATATGAGCAAAATAAACATTTGGTTTTCAGATTGAAAAAGGGTTATATGAAGGTAAAATGATTAATCATTTTGTATCATTTTGTTGAATTGATGTTTAATATTTCTGATGAAATTAACATCTGTAAGAACCAATTTTTTTGTGTTGCTTAGTATTTAAAAAAGTCAAACAGTGCCATTTAAAAAAAATGTAAAGCATCTACTGGATCAGAAATATCACTCACTTACACAAGAAAATACGCAAATGTGTTTATCAATACTCATATTTCTACCTTGAGTAACTCATAATTAGCCTGTCTGCCCCCTATTGCCCACCAGTAGGCATTGCAGTACACAAATGGCACATTAAATCATTCACATGTTCCCTATCTGTAGTCCTGCTGAATTGTGTTGTGCTAGCTGTCCTTTTTTCTTGAGATATATTCAGGCAGTAAAAGGGATACCGAGTTTAAAATGACCTGGGTGGATGTTTATTTTTATTTTTAAACTTTGTACTTTGACAGCAGCTAAAAGTAAAAAAGAAAATAAAAAAAAGCAACAACAACAGAATTTAGTTTGCCCTGAGGATATGAGTTCATTTGTAAGATGTGATAAATATTATGGCAAAGGTTTCAACAAAAAGTTGTTGTCCCAAGAGTCGTGCCTTGAGGCACACCGGGCAATTGGTGAAGCAGAAAGAAAATATCATTATTTTAAAGTGGAAATGTTTTGTTTGACTGTTGAAATGAGAGCTGATCCAGGGCAGCCACAGAGGTACCAAAGAAAAACAGGCTTTGTCATCACCTTCGGGAGGAAATGGTTGTGATTAATTTGTTATAGATTACTCTCACCAGTGGAGGGAGCTGTTCTGTGTGCCTGAGTGAGGTACTCTTCTTTTGGGTGATGCAGCTGAGCTTGGATATCACTTGGTTTAAAACAAACCAGCCTACCCTCCTCCATAAAGCTTGGTCACAAGCTAAAGGAGAATACAGCAAAATGTTTATTCTCATTCCCAATAGTGCTCTATTATACCACAAACAAGTAGGGACATTTTAACTTAATATAGCCTCATCAAAAAGGGAAAGTAAAGCTGCTAAATTTTTTACCTTGGTCTAATACTCTTTTTAAATCCCTATTCTCAAATACATTGGAAAATCAACTCCATTTAAAGTTTAAACAACCGAATCCCATCTTCTGATTTGATGTCTCCATTTGACATAATTTGTTGGTATCAAGTTGCAGATGCTGGCCACTGTGTTTGTTTGCATTTCTGTGCACATTTATTTGTACAGGAAAGTAATTGTACCCATTATTTATATCTACTTATAAACTGGATATGAGAACAGCTGCCTAAATATGAATGTATCACTGAAGCTTGACTTCTACAGTATGATAGCTAGTTAATCTCGAAATGAGCCTATAAAGGGTAAAAATATCTCCTGTGGTTCACTAAACTATAAGGCAAACTGGAGAAAGAGGACTGTTGTAGAATTACTTTAAAAAGACAATGTTTTACTGCTTTTCAGATTAATCGCAGTACTTTTCCTTTTAGGACCAGGACAACTCCATATTTTAACTTGCTCATAATGATCTCACATAAACTCTAATGTCTGAGATTTACAACATACAATATAATGTTTAAAACATACACAAATTAATGGATAAAATAACATTTTTTATGTGGAAAAATAATGTCTACTTCAGTGACACATCATTTTGTGAATCACCACGTTGTTTTATTTAGCATAATGTCAGCCTGATGTTCTAGGAATAGGAGAGATTAGAGTTTTGTGAGATTACGCGTAATTCTGGAGTCTCTAGGCAACAAAGCAAAATTTAAAAATACATTAAGTTATGTTTTATCTTTGCCTGGGGATTGGAAGAAAGGCAAGCTTGTATCAATTGCTTTTTATATTGTTATTGGCTAACTTTGAACTTATGAGTTTTTCTCGTTTGTTAAAATGAAACATTTATTTTGACGGCATAAATTACTCTTTTAGGCTCTTGCTTCATACGTCGAAGAGATATGTCGTTTCCGGCTGCCATCTTTGTTCAGGTTCAGACAAGATATAAATATATATAATAGTGAATATTTGTAATTCAGGTCAAACAATATGTATTGAAAAAGTGGAACATGAGCTTTTCAGTGCTAAAGTTTGCTAGCTAGTCGACCTTCAAACGACTAAATTGCGCTTTGGAGAGGGTTGAAGACAAGTTAGCAACACTTAATCTAAAACATCTTTACCTATACTTCTGTAGACAATGTTTTTAAATGTTCGCACATCAACAAAATGAGTGTTAATGAACAGGTTGTTTTCACTAATTATGTAGGACCCTCAGTGGCGGTTCTTGTCCACTTTTACTGAGGGGGCCAAACGGGGGCCAGTTGTTTTGTCAGAGGGGAACATTAAACCCAGGTCACAAATAGACAAAGATGATCGCTTTAAAAAAAATATATAAATATTATGCCAAATAAAAGCGCACATCATTAAATACCATGATTTGTATTTGTTTAATTAACAGTATTTAATACTAGATTGTGAGTCCGGTTGTGAGTCAAATACTGAGTATGTTATTAGGGGGGCTCTTCCTTTTGGAGGGGTGGCCTCGAGGGGGGGGGCAAGGTCAGTGGCCCCTGTTGGCCCCTGCCCTAGAACCGCCCATGAGGACCCTGCCTGAAACAGATTTTTTTTTTTTGTTGGTGTTATTGAGACTTTGATAACTCTGAAATCTTTAGGAAATATTGTGCTTGTTTTTTTTTTGTAGGCTTGAAGTAAAAGAATCACTTCTTATCATTTAAGTGTAAGGCGGCGAATTAATGTTTTACAGGTAGACTATATCTGCAGTGTTAACATGAAGGTGTTCTTTCGGGAGCGAAATCCCACACCATAGTTTAGTTCTAGCCTGAGCACAAAAGGCAGCCAGGATCCAAACTTCCGTGTAACTCCACACCCTGTTTTCCGGGGAGCCAGTGGAGATCCAGCCCTTCAACACGCTGCTCTCTTACGTCCCGTCCGAGAGCAGTGAGCTGGCCGCGGCGGAGATTTCTCCTTTGGTCGGATCTTATCTTTCTCCAAACCGAGCCCTTTTCTGTGGCTTTTTTTTACGCGCTTGTCACAAACCGGAGCAGTAAAGTCGGCGCGTCGGTGCGCAGTCACCCGCAAATCGGTTTTCGCCTTTGCGCTGCGCCTCCGTGGCAATGGATTGATTTCAGTGTTTTTTTTTTTTTTTTTCCTCCACCGACCTCTGCCTCGACCAAGTTGAGAAAACACTCTCCCCTAACCTGCGGCTCTCTCTTTCACAGCTACATGTTTCATCCGGCTACTTTTAAAACTACCTGGCTCCGGATGGTTCTGCACATTTTAGGACTTTGAACTTTTTTTTTTTATTTCTCCCCCTTGTGCATTCACAGGAGGTGGCCTTGGATTGTAAGGATTTCTTTTTTTTTTTGGAAGCTTCTCCGGGGTTCCTGAAGCCTGCAAAGATTTATTTGTGAAAAGTGATGGCCGAGCGGGGAGCTCTGTCGCTCCTCTCTCTCCTCTGTCTCACCTTTCTCTTCTACACGGAGACCACCGCGGCAAAGCATGTCGACAAAGGTAAAATCCTTGAACACACTGCCAATTGTTGTGCTGTACGTGTGCTTCTTCACGCCTCGATTGGAGAAACTTACCTGCATTTAGTTGGCGGCGGCGGCGGGGGGGAGAAAAGAAACACACGGCTTTGAAAATCAAACATGGAGCTGGGAGGCTAATTCTGCTGTGTTTCGGTCAGCTCTTGTTACACCATTTAGTCAACTTTAAAAGTAGGCTACTTTCTCCACAACAGGCACACTATTTACTCAAAGAACAAGCCCTGTTTAAAGCAGTAAAGCAACACGCTTTCCACACTGTGTCCTTTTGTCTGCACAGAGAGGCTGACGAGATCCCTCTGGTTGTCTTATCAAATGATTCATAGACATGCCGGGAGAGTTGTTCCACAAATGTTTGCAGGTGGACCTGAAAGGCTAAAATAGCACATTTTTGTTTGTTGGAATGAGATCATGCATCTGTCATGGGATTGCAAATGATGGCAGTAACTTGAATCTGAAGGGAAACAACACACACACTATGCAAAGACTCATTAGGGCTCACTGTCAGGTAATAAGCCAGCATCATCAGTCCAGCAGACATCTCATTACCTGGGCGTCAATACATGTTTAGCTGATGGATAAACAGAACCCCAATTCATTTTCTTCTGTTAATTGTTTTGAAGTTAGGACAGTGGACTGTTCTGCAGTGTGTAGCTCATTTTCTGTCTTATTCCAGCTGTTGTGAGACATTTCACTGAGGTGATTCCTGATGTAAGATATGTTGATTTGAGCCTGTGTTTGACTGTTATATACCAGACACACACAGCCATGTGTGTCTGAGATAAAGTGGAGACTCATGTGGGGGGAAAAAAAAGGCGTTCCAGCCCTTATCACATACCCCATCATGACAGAGTCATATCTTTATCATTTAAGCTGTTGAGACGTTATCAAACACAGCAGCATGTGGTCTGGAGAAATTATGAAAAATAACTCACTCTTGTGCAACATGGCCCAGATTTTTTTTTTCTCCCACATCGCTTATGTGATATGCAAAGTAGTGTTTTCTGTGTGTAAAAAAACCAAACAATAAAAAAAACTTGAAAGCTTCTTGTTTATTTTGCTAGTTTCAAAGAAAGATGAATGTGCAAAGCAGACAGCAGGCCTTGGAGTGACAGGCCGGTGCTAGGTGTTTGCGTGTGGAGCCTGATGAAAGACCCTCTCCTGCATGAAAAGATCTCTGCAGTGGTGGAAGGGGAGATAGAGAGGGAGAGAGAGAAAAAAAAAAAAGCCCCTCCTTGGCTTTGCTGGAGATCAGTACAAAAGAGAGATGGGGGTAGGGTGAACAGGCTGACTGTCTGGAAAGTAATAAAACCAGGAGATTAAGGGGACCAGGGAGTTCCTTTGGGAGCTTTGATTGATTCCAGAGAATTGGACTGGGACCCACACGCAGAGAGAGTTTCAAATTACTAATTGTGGGGTCCCCTTTTCTGAAAATATCTGTTTATTCAAAACACATTGCTTTTGAGGTTGTGGCTGTGGCCAGAGCTTATCAAAGTTGGCAGAGTTGAAGCCTGAACTTTCTGTTTGTCTCACTCAGTTTGGGGACAGACATGATTCATAGTCTCACTTTTTAAGTTTTACTTTGAAATAACCTTTCAGAGTTCAGCTTTAATTTACCACGTCCTCCTCTGTAGCGCTCAAAAGTTGTTAGAACTTTAAGAAATACCTCCAAAGTTTATCTCTTGTAAACAAGTCCCTGTTGGAGGAGTGTAAAATCCATTTAATTTAGACCCTATCTTATCTCTGTAAGCCTGCCGGGAGGGGATTGTGTGCTGATTGTCTCCCAGCGGACAATGCAAATAACTTGCGGAAAACGTGTAAACATTTGGCAACCACTCTCTGCTCTTACAGACCACTCACCAGGTTTTTTTCAGGCCCCGCAGACCACCTCAGATGCAACATTACCCAGGCTTCATAAACAAATCGGTGTTTTCTTTGGCGCATTTACTGGTCTTCTCAGTGGACTCTGCTGCTAAGAACATACTTCACCACCTTTTTTGTGTTGTTGTGTTTGGAAATGCCTGGTGATCCTATGTCCCAGTTTGTGTGTGAAAGCAGAAGGCTTACAGTTGGATCTTTAGTCATCCTGAATTGAATAGTGCATAGTGCAGTCATAACCTGCACAATCTGAGAGCAACATGTTGGAAATGTTTCTGTTCCGAATCTATTCCACATGTACACATCGTGTAGGGATGAGATTAAAAGGGTTGTCATGCGGAGTCACCTGCTGTCTCTGTTGTATACGTTATGCTGTTTACTGATCATTTATTTATGGGCTCCAGTAACTCATAAAGTCCTAATGACCTCCATCCACTGGAGATGAATAATTGCTACTTGGCCAAGTCTTTGATTCATCTGCCTCACTAATGAAACCTCCCCTATTAGGAAATGCTATACAGAACTGCTGCGGCCACTGATTTGGAGGCTCACTTTGTTGCTATCATTGTGATAGGTGGCTCCGCAAGGTCGGTAGTGCCAGATATCGGTTGAAAAAACAACGACTTGTTTGTTCCTTTTTCCTATTTGCTTTTCAGCTGCGAAATCAGCTCGTTCTGTGCTTTTCGGGGGTTAAAATGACTGCAATTATTGAAATGATTTGCCCCAACAGACACCGCAGTTTGTCACAAGTAATTGGCAGGGTTAAAGACGGATCAATATCCTCTGAATACACGGCGTGACATCTGCTGGTGCATCTTTTTAGTGTTTTGGGTTCAGTGTAATCACCTGCTTTCAGCTTTAATGGTTCAGCTGACTCTTTTTTTTTTTTTTGTAACCAGTGGGTCTATTGGTGTTTTTTCGGATGTATTGCTTTTTGTCTGTTTGCTCTTGTACTGCTATGCAAAAGCAGCTATACAGTGTTAACACTGCAGATCTGCTCATTTGTAGCTGTAATAAAGTATAAATACAGCAAGGTCTTTATCATTTGCAGCATGGAAAAAATGCACACCACTGAAACGATCTATTTGCCACTGTTTTAAATATTTACACATCTGCAGTAGGTCACATAAAGCATTTTTGAATTTTTATTGAGAAACATTCAACATGTTGTTTAAAACCATAAATCTTACAGGCTTTAATAGCCCCTTGTGTATTTGAGTAGACGGGGCTGTCTGGCTGCTGATTTCTGTCTGGTAGTAAAAGAAGGGCTGTTGTCAGTTTAGAGACGGAAAGGGTCATGGTTAAAAGCCAGAAAGGATCAGGAACAAGTCCGTGGCTTCTGCTGACCCCCCCTCCTCAGATGAAATTGCCTCTATCAGAGCTGCTTCTAGTGGTGTGCTGCAGAGAAACAGGACTTAAGGATGATATTCCTGTGTCTCCACTGCAGCCTCTCCTTCTCATCTGATTCACTGGTACACAGTCAGACGTCTCAGAATTATTTTCACGGTTTGCATTCCTGTGTATATTTACACTTTATGTCAATCCACTGTCTATTGCAAACATTTGTCATATTGTCCCTTACGTGCTACCGTTGGAAAAATGTATTAAGAGTCTCGAGATGTCCCTCTTAGTATTTTTGCTCTCTGAAAGGTACCAGAGGTTAAATGCTGTGAATGTGTCTGCACCTGTGTCATTTGGTTCCACAACATCCCCACTTTTCTTTCACAAATCCCTGTAAATAAAACCTATGCTCATCTTATTACGAGCAGCTGTATCTATAAGCAGAAGAAAATACTTCTCGCTTGTGGAGTGGACAAAATGTATTTATCCATAAGAAATGGAGACCAGCACTAGAATCTGTCGCGCTGAGCTGAGCAGACGACCGTAATTGTTCTTTCATGTTTCAAAATATTCTTTGTGATGTCATGCAGTTGTTAAAGAAATGTATATCAAATTTATATGTCAGATATTCTGAACCACAGAGATTGTCAAAGCTTTCTCTTCAGAAATTGTGTAAGCAAACTTTTCTTCAAGCGCGGGTAATTATGGGATTTCAAGTAACTGGAACCTAGCTATTTTCACGTTAAAACGTTCTACATTTATAGCAGCGGTGTCAGTTTCATCGGGGAATTTTGTGTGCTTTCTCAGAATAAAGGCTTTTCCCTTCTGCTAATCAATTATCCAGGGGAAACTGCTCCCTGGAAAGAGGAAAAACCTTTCCTTTAATGTTGTGCAAAAGGGGAATAGATATAGTTGTTGTCCTGAACCATCAGTTTCTCTGTACTTTGAAATGCAGTCTTTTCCGTGTTGTGATTGTTCAGCTCACAAAAAGAAGTTCACATCAAGTGAACTCTTCTTGAAGCCGAACTTCTCTCAGCTTCAGAGGTGTTCCTGCTGTGACTAAAAGAACAATGTCGGACGCAGCACCTTTCCAATCTGGCTGCTGTGTGTTTCTTTGTGTCTGCTGCTGGCCCTTTCATGTCCAAAAAAAAAAAAACTTGCTGCGAGTTTAAAGAAGTTGAATAGTGTCAAGAGGCCATAAAGCTGTCTGTGCTTCCATGTTTGATGACTCCTCTGAGACTTTATAACAACCCGAGGAGCATTACTTCAACTACATTTTACCTTTTGCCCGAGACATGGCTGGAAACACGCCTGCCTCGCTTATTTCTGTTTCCTGTTGCTTTATTTCTGAAAATAGAAAGAAATGCAAAATGTCTTATTCACAGTGGTCTGTCTTGCTCTCCAGGCTTCCCTGTTCTGCTGTGATTGAATGATGCTCGAGCTGAATGACCTATGGGACAGCACAGTCTTTCCAGTTTCCATGGAGCTAACACACATTGCAGCGGTGTGAGAAAATAATATAAAGTAGACTAAAGCTATGTCTACATGTCAATAAGAGTCTAGTTTGTCATCTCAGTCATTTTGATGTTATGTTCTTTAGCTGTTCAAGACTTGTTACAGTCATTCAGTCACACCTGCAATAGGAAAGACGTTGTTTGTATTTGACAAATATATTGTTTCTGTTGGAGTAGAATTTCAAAGACTGCAGATGCAAACATCTTCAAATGTACTAAAACAATCATTGTAAAA